TGATCCTTACCCGTCTCTGGCCACACGTCCAGCATAAACAGCCGCCATCCGAGGAAGGCAGGGAGGGAGGAGATCAGCTGGGGACCCCATGCGCCCGACGTTGCCGGCCCACCACCTGCTCTAAGGTGACCAAGCAGGATCACTATGCTGAGGTTCAATCCAGTTCCTAGGGGACTAAAATATTTTTTAATAAAGGAATACAAAAGCTTGTTGAGAGATGGACAAAGTGTATTGAAAAGCAATGAGATTGATTATGTTAAAAAAAAAAAAGATGTATCTGAGTCCTGGTGTGGCCTTGTAGGTTAATGCACTGGTCTGCAAAGCTGTTTGAGATGATGTATAATGGAATGACTGTAAAACGAATGTTCCCCCATGTAGACTATCACACAATACACAATAAAACATTTAAAAAAAAAAAAAAAGCTGTTTGAACTGCAAGGTCGACAGTTCAAGCTCACCAGAGGCTCCTCAGAAACCCTATACAGGGTTGCTATGGGTCGGAACCAACTCAACGGCACTTCACAACAACATTTGTCATTGCTAAAAGTTTATTGAAATAAATTCTACAGCCGGAGTGTGGATAATTTTTTACTAACCCTCATACAAAATCAAGATCCAGCATTACTTTCAACAGGGAGAAACTAAAAGCATTCCTCTTGCAAACAGAGACCAGACAAGGATGTTCTTTATCACCACTCCTTTCAATATTGTGATGGAAGACTTACCTGGAGCTGTAAGGCAAGAAAGGGAGATTAAAGGCAACCAAACTGGCAAAGAAAAAGGAAAACTCTATTTGCAGATGATATAATTCTATACACAGAAAATTCCAAAGACTCTACAAGATTATTAGAGCTCATTGAGAGATTCAGAATGTGTCAGGAAACAAGATCAACATACAAAAATCAGTCAGATTCCACTTTTTTTTTTTTTTTTTTACAAAGATGGCACTGAAAGTGAATAAGGAAGCACCTGCCCCTCCCAAAGCTGAAGCCAAAGCAAAGGCATTGAAGACCAAGAAGGCAGAGCTGAAAGGCGTCCACAGCTACACAAAAACAAGGCAGGGTTGAAAGGCATCCACAGCTGTACAAAAAGAAGGTAGTGTTGAAAGGCATCCACAGCTATAAAAAAAAGAAGGCAGTGCTGAAAGGCATCCACAGCTACAAAAAAAGAAGATCCGGATGTCATCCATCTTCTGGCGGTCCAATACTCTGAGGCAGCCCAAACATCCTCGGGAAAGCACCCCCAGGAGAAACAAGCTTGACCACTATGTCATCATCAAGTTCCATCTGACTTCTGAGTCAGCCATGAAAAAGACTGAAAATAATAACACACTTGTGTTCATTGTGGAGGTCAAGGCCAACAAACACCAGATCAAACAGGTTGTGAAGAAGCTCTATGACATTAACGTAGCCAAGGTCAACACCTTCATCAGGCCTAATGGAGAAAAGAAGGCGTATGTTCGACTGGTTCCTGACTATGATGCTTTGGATATTGCCAACACAATTGGGATCATCTAAACTTGAGTCCAGCTGGCTAATTCTAAATATAAACTTTTTCAATACATAAAAAAAGTCAGTCAGATTCCTTTACACTAATAAAAAGAGCTCTGAAAAGGAAATCAGAAAAACAGTACCATTTACAAAGCCACAATTTATATTCCAAAAGATTATATACTTAGGAATAAACCTAACCAGAGCAACAAAATACCTATACAAAGAAAACTACAAAACAAGAAACCAAAAGAGACCTACAAAAATGGAAGGATATACCATGTTCATGGATAGGAAGACTTAACATTCTGAAAATGTCAATACTGCCCCAAACAATCTATAGATATAATGCAATCCCAATCCAGATTCAAACTTCATTCTTTAAAGCAATGGAAAAAATAATCACTAACTTTATATGGAAAGGAAAAAGACCTAGATGATCAGAACATTACTAAAGATGAAAAACAAAGTAGGAGGTCTCTCACTTTTTAATCTCAAAACCTTCTACACAGCAACAGTAGTCAAAACAGTCTGGTACTGGTACAAAACAGTCTGGTACAGCAAAAGACACATAGATTAATGAAACAGAATTGAGAACCAAGAAATAAATCCATCCATCTATGGTCAGATGATCTTAAATTAGGAAGAGTCTCTTCAACAAATAGTGCTGGAAAAACTGGAAATCCACTTGCAAACAATGAAACAAGATCCATACAGAAATGAACTCAATGTGGTTTAAATACTTAAATGTTAAAACTAGAACTATAAAGACCATAAAAGGAAAAATAGGGACAAACTTAGGGGCTTTGGTTGCCTGTTTGATCAATTCCAGACTGAAGAAGTTCATAGAATTCTTCAATTTTATCATCACTGGCTTTAGTGATTTGTGTGTAAATTTGAATAATAACAGTATTAACTGGTCTTTCTTGTTTGTTGTTCTTGTTAGCTTCCATCAAGTCAGTTCCAACTCATAGTACAACAGAATAAAACACTGTCCAGTCCTGCATCATTCTCACAATTGTTTTAATGCTTGAGGCCATTGCTACTGCCACTGTGCCAGTCCATCTCATTGGGGTCTTCTCCTTTTTACCAAACATGATGTACTCCAGAAACTGGTTCCTCCTGATACAATGTCCAAAGTAGGAGAGAAAAAGTCTCACCATCCTGGCTTCTAAAGAACATTCTGGCAATGCTTCCTCGAACACAGATTTATTGTTGTTGCTATTATTCCGGTAGTCCATGGTACTTTTAATATTCTTCTCCAACACCATGACTCAAATGCATCAATTCTTCTACAATCTCCCTTATTCATCGTCCAATTTTTACATGCATACAAGGCTATTGAAAATACCATGGCTTGGGTCAGGTGCATTTTAGTCCTCAAACTGACATCTTTGCTTTTTTGCAACAGATTTGCCTAACACAATATGTCATTTGTTTTTTTGACTGCTATTTCCATGAGTGATAGTGGATCCAAACAAAATGAAGTATTCGACAACTTCAATCTTTGCTCCATTTATCATGATGTTATTTACTGGTCCAGTTGTGAGGATTCTTGTTGTCTTTACATTGAGGTATTCCTTATAGGTATGTGGATATCATCCTATCACAAACAACATATTTCAAGATAGAACTTGAAATGCTCTTTCTGACAATGAATGTGACGTCATTCCTCTTCAAGTTATCATTCACAGGATGATAAACCACCTGATTTTCTGATTCAGAATGACTGATTCCAGTCAGGATATCGATCTTTATGTGTTCAATTTAATTTTGGGCAACTTCCAATTTTCCTAGATTCATACTTCTACATTTGATGTTCCAATTATTAATGGATGTCTGAAATGGTTTCTCCTCATTTTGAGTTTTGCTCCATCATCAAATGAAGGTCACAAAAGCTTTAACTCCATCCAAGTCATTAAGGTCAACTCTACTTTGAGGAGGAAACTCTTCCCTAGTTGTAATTTGGGTACCTTTCAATCTGAGGAACGCATCGTCCTGCACTATAACCAACAATGTTCTGTTGCTATTCATAACGTTTTCAGTGGATAACCATTCAGAAATGGTCAACCTCTCCTTCTTCTTAGTCTGTCTTAGTCTGGAAGCTCCGCTAACACCTTTCCACTATAGGTGACCTTGCTGCTATTTAAAATACTAGTGGCATAGCTTCCAGAAGCACAGCAATACACATGCCACTACAGTATGATAGTCTGATGGATAAGTGGTGGACTGAGTGAAATTAGTCAACCACAACAGGATACATAGTGTAAAAGTCAAGAAAAAGTTTTCATACCAAAAGAGACTTTCTTCAATGCTTGCAAAGTATGAATTGTTGTTGTTAGGTGCCA